CCATGGGCTTTAATAACAAATATGCAAAGCGTTAGATTTACGATTTTGCTTATTTTGTTTTTAATTCGGCCAGATGAGTTTAAAAACGTCGTTTTTAAAGTGAATGGCACCCAGTGCCATGGAAAGTGTGTGTATCTGCGCGGTGCTATTGTTTTGTCCCTGTGTCACGGCACTCCAGTCTCGTAAAAGGCCCCGTATGGTTTATATGGGCTTTGTCCCAGAATTGATACAAATTATTGCGGCCAATTTAAATAGTGATCTGCTGGGGGGGGGGGGGGGCTGTCATTCACAGCATTCCTCGCACCTTATTGTGTCAAATAACGTGCCAATGTGTTTGTCAGGCTTTGTACCATATTTTTGCTCTTCGCGTTTTTTTTACGGATTCTTGTCTTAGCTTGAAATTTAATCGGTTTTCAGTTTCCCCGTGCTGTATGCCGATAAGCAGTTGTATGAAACATATCTCCCTTCCGGCTAGCTGGACAAGTCTAAGCATTGCTCACAACACAGACTATCACTCAACACTCGAAAGCTCGTCAGAGAAACAGGAAGCGGCGAAGTGATTTTGCTTAAAAAAAAAATACAAAAGATGCTTCAAACCACAGTCTCTCTATACAGGGTGTATTCACAACATTTTGGCAGTGTTTAGAGCGAAAATTGTTTTCACGAGATTTCCCTGGCTGACACAGATGAAATTGTCATTTGCGTACCCACGAGTTCAGTTTAAATTTATCCTTGCAACTTGAGGTTAGATTTTACCGGAGATAGGAAAGTTTTCTATTCATGCGCAGTTACTTTAAAATAATTTTAGTAACCGTGATTCATACGATGGTCACACTGTTAAAAATTGACCAAAGTAATTTGGTTTGTTTGCCCGCTCGTCGGTTTGAATGCTTTGTAAACTATTATAGTATTTACGGGGTTCAGAGTTGATTGGCTGTTGTAATAAGCTTCCAGTCCCCCTTAATCATGGCCACTTGCTTTACAATTATGTTTTTGTCAAAGCGTGTTACTTTCATCGTAGTGGGTCATTTATTGGTCAAGGTGTCGTCAGGTATTAATTAGCCATGACGGGAGTTTTGCCTTGGAGCAGTGTCAATTTGGGAGACATTGTCTGCGTTTTGGCAGTTCTAAACTGCGTCGCCACCCTATCGCGTCGGCATAGACCTGACAGTTATTGCGCGATCTGTCAGAACTTCTTTCACGCATTTCGTTCCATATACGTTGAGTGGTGATTTTTCAAAAAGAGTTTAACAATGGTGTGTGCTGTTATTTAGTGGTCATTTTTATAGGCTAGTAAACATGTCAACGTAGCCTTGACGGAAAGTCATTTGACAGGAAGGTTGTATATTTGAGTAAGAGTTATCTTGCCGATAACGTTTACATTGTATTTTATTTAAAACTTATGTGTTTTTTTTTTGTTATCTTTCTCAGTACGCAGTTCCAAACTCCGTTTCCTTGACAACGAATTTGAGGATTCATACGACACAGACGCCTTCATGTCAAGTAAAAAGCATCGCCTTGATGGTCTCCATCCCAAGAAGCGAAGAGGAAACTTGCCAAAAGAAGCTGTGAACGTCTTGAAAAACTGGCTGTATGAACATAGGTTGAACGCGTATCCTAGCGACCAGGACAAGCTGCTCCTGTCTCGCTCGGCCAACCTGTCTATTCTACAGGTGTGCAACTGGTTCATTAACGCAAGACGCCGAATATTACCGGAGATGATCCGACGTGATGGCAGAGACCCAACAGAATACACAATCAGTAGAAAAAACAACACTGTCAAATCGCATGTGAAAAGAGATAAAGAAAGAGTCAAATGTAGCGTCAAAAAAGAGAAGTCTTACTCTGAAAACTATGATGCAAAACACAATAAAGCTCCAGACACTCCTCCTTATAACCCTACAGATTCCTGTGCCTACGCACCGCCGCCTTATTTCCCGATGTCGTATCCTGCTTCGGAATCAGAGACCGAATGTGCCAAGCATCTTGCGGCGATCAGCAACGGCCAGTATCACCCGTATTACAGCGATAGAGTCAACCCAATATCATACAACAGTACGTGTTACCAGACCGCTGTGAATATGACAGCCCAAGCAAGTTGTAACGACTATGTTGACAATAGTACCCCGACAAACACTGCTCCCAGGCAAACAACTTTGGACTTTGATCACCGCACTGGTTTCCCTGATAACACATCGAACTGTGATCGCTCATCAACCTCGACGCCTCCTCCCCCCGCTGTGACTACGTCACAGACCCCTCCCCCTACGCCTCCAGCCCGTGAAGAAGATGTTTTCTCACGGTTCAAGATACTCGTGGATGTTGCAATCAGTCAAATGAAGGAACTTGAACAGGAAGAACAACTAGTGAAACAACAACAACAGCAACAACAACAACATTTAGTGACAGGAAGAGCGTGACAGTTTTCACCTCACTAGTCAGTACCTTCCATGCTCGTATTGAATTATGGTGATTTTTTTATATTTTGTGTACACATTTAATAAACGTACACACAGAGTATTTATCGACATTTTTATTTCTTTTTACTTTTTTGCAATATCGCTAACTGGCGAGAAACATAGCCCTATATTTTACACATATTGTTTTTAATATGCTTGTCAACTAGGAATTTATATATAGCGTGCGTAGTGACTGGAGTAAGCACTAATACTCCCTATTGTAGATTTATACATTTCATATTTTTTATAGTGCTTTTAAAAAATATTGCCTGTGTAGTTTTATAGTTGTAATATTGTTCAGTTTTGATAAATTTGCCATGTGGTGTTTTCATTAAGCCTGGGCAATACCTCCCCCACCGTATGGCTGCATATTCCCAAAATGAATTTATATATAATATGTGCCGAGTTTAATTTTTTAAACTTCATCACCTTTTGAAATATATTTTTCAATTTTATTTTCTTGAATAATTTTTCGTGTTTTAACACGATTTTTTGTAATCTACACGGCCTCAACCAATGAAATTGGGCCACATACAGAGTGGCGACTTTAACAGATGTTTACTTAATTTGCATAATCACTCTCTAACGAGCGCGACACGGTGGAAATTTACTACAGTTTTTTCTATATTTGTATGGTGCGCGATTGCCCTTGTTATAAAATATTTCCAAATATTGTGTAATATTTGTCTAGTAAAATAAAAAAAAACGCATTACGATTGATAATTACATTTGTGAGTGGCGTATGTTTCTCACGTGGTTGAATGTTGCAATGTTATATTTGTAAGCAATTTTGTAAGCTATCGTACCGCATCGGGCAAGGTACAAGGTTGGACGTGACTAAACAGTGTCTAACAGACTATCGATATTTTGGACGTGTTCTTATCAGTGACCATCAGTAAACACCTTCGTTATCGAGTGGGCCTGGTATGATTGTTGGGCGGCCAGGTATTTGTCTTGTAGACCCGTTAAAAGTGTGTTGCAATGCAATATGTTTTTTTGTTTTATTTTTATCGTTCTATAAATTTCCCGCTTATATTCTGTAAGCGTGAGGCGGTCGGGAGAAGCAACAGGTAGTTAAATTGAACAAACATTCTCTACGTTTCAATCTCTTTTCACGGGGGTGTAGAAACGAGCCTACAGAAGAATTTCATTTTTTGCATTTTAGTGAAGGAGCATTACATATAGTATATACAGTACTAGTATATGAGACCTTGCTACCTTATTTGACCCACACTGCATCGCCTCACAACCCGGCACGGACAGTAGACAACTCACTATCAGACAGCGAGTTGATGCAAATAGATCACGTGATCAAGTCCCACTATTAGCTGTCAAACAGTTTGACAGCAGTCACTAAACCAGTGTATGTGATAGCGTAATTTGCATTAAAAACGATTAAAAAATAAATTCTTATTTTACGCATTGTGCTTTCTCGCGTATTTTATAATTTCCCCCACCAAATCACGATTTGCGTGTTTCGGCGAGCCGACGCCGTGGTAACAGCTGGTTAAGTTTTCCTTTGTTGCTGTTCAAATAGTAATGCTTGAATGGAAAATTGAAATTCTGTTTGGTACTGTATGTTTTATTTCCCATGCTCGAACCGACTCCAGTATCATCATTATCTCCATCTTAAGACCACAGCTTCTGAATAGTTGTATCTTTTATTTAGCAAAACCTTTGCTGGTGCTGAATGTGACACACATATTGAAGTATTTTGCATCGATTCGCCTGTACATTGGAACAGTGTATTCTCTGATTTTGATGGTAAGATTCTGCAGTATCATGGTGCTGCTGCCGGCTCGTTTTAGCAAAAAAAATGCATAACAGAATTGACAACTGACATTTGTCAGGCACTATTTGCGCATGCTCTCCTTCTTTACTGCATTGTATTCTCTCAAAATAAGAAGTACGAGTAAATAAAAAAAAACAACGATGTCACTGATTCTTCGGTCACGTGATCTACACATACATGCGAACTCTGTTAAGCTGTCACCATCGTTCGCTCCCGTCTCCGAGATTAATTATGAAAAAAAAATGCATTTTACATTTATTGTGTCGCTTGAGTAATTTTACCTTTCCAACGAACAAAGAACGGTACGCCAGCTTGCAACATCGTGAATTCATCAAGTAGCTCTCAATGTTTTTTATGAAAAGATAAAAGCTGAAATCGGGCCATTTTTTTGGCAACAGGTGTCACCAGGGGAGTCCGCGAGAGGTGCCAACCCTCCAAAACCGACAATGGACTACAAATACTACTACTTCTGACGCCCAGTGAACAAACTGTAACATGTCTAACATCACAATATCAATCGATTTCTCATATCGTATAAGCGCTACTTTCTGTTATCACAACTCCCACGATCTGCATTGTGATATGTATGTGTATTTGCTATCTATAACATGCTCATTCTAGCCAGAATGAACACGTGCTTCTTCTCATCGCGGGCTCCCCGGGGTCCTGTTTTTTTTTCCTTTTTTTTTTGTAAAACTGGAACAGACCGTTGGTTGGGCATAAATTAAAATGTCACTCGAAGTGTTCATATCAGTTGAAATTATAAACTCGTTTCTTATCAGTAATGACAGTTGTTTGACTGATACCTCGTCGCGCTGTGACGTTTTATTTGTTAGCGTGGATACTTATTTCGCGGTTATCGCTCCTTTGTATGGTACCCCCGGTATTTTTTTTATTGGACCCGTATAACGACCAACAGCTAAACCATCAGTCGACTGTAATTTACGGGCTGGATTGACCCCCTCAAATTTAAAAACCTGGATGTGAACTGATTGTCGCCATTAGCCAATGTATCTCACAAGCATACAATTGGTGTAGGTGGCAGGGGGAGGGGTCGCGTCTCTTTCAATTGTCCTGTGCGGCCGCCATTTCAACAACCAAATTAATGTTATTCTCATCAATAAATGTAGTGTGTGATATTACAAACCATACTCCTGTCAGCGTTTAGTAAGGGGACGCTGACGTCCATTAGTAAGCGACTTAATACTGCAGTTAACGAAGCAAATCAACTATACACTACTTGCCTGTGACGACCGAACAGTTTGCACTTTGACCCTAACCATCCGATATAATTTAGCGCGAATATCAAGTGTTTGACCGAGGAATAAAATCACGGGATTGACAGTCACGTTTAGTCGGTACATCGAAGTATATTTCCAACCACATCCAAATTGTCGATCTTTTTTTTTTTTCGTAACGCATGATGTATGTGAGGTTATACTCTAGCTTCTCCATCCACACGGATTTGCCAAGCGGAACTACAAACTATTTCAAAGGAAACAAGGTGGTTGTTTTTCCCGTGGTTTGTAGTTCTATGGACTTACATAGCGAAAACGACATTCGTGTAACGGATTACGCAATAGTAAAATAACATGGCGTGCTATCATAATTACTAGTCATATGATATACTGTGTTGTTTTCAGATAAGGTACACATAGCGTGACGCATCGTAATTTCAAGTGTAGATAGAAGTTCTACTGTGTGATATTGTTGACATACATCGTGTGCGTATGAACATATCTCACGATGTTAACACCAGTATTTATTATTATTATAATTTGCGCATCCCTGGACCAAAGTGATATGAGGGGGTGCCATGGTAACATGCCTCATCACTTCTGTACAATGCATATAAAAGTACACCATTATAATGAATATTCTATTAACGAAAAAGCCGATCGTGGTATATATAGACGGCATGGTTCCCCTTGATGTGCCCGGTGCCCGGCATGGAACGCCACGTTTTTTGATGAAATGTAATTATATTTTTTTTGGAAAGAATACGCGTTGACACGTGCTGACTACTGTCACCGTGGTATTTTGTCAATGTGACTGGTCGTCAAATGCCCGACCAGCTACTATACAAGAGGAGGACGGGGGGTGTAGTTGCAGGAGTGACACAGAATAGAGAAATTGTGACATCATTGAAATGCAAATATTAAAATGATCTATAGAATTAAGCCATGCGGTACCGTCATTGTCAAATTCCGTGTACATTCAGTTAAAACTGTCACGTTTCCGCCATTTTTATCGTCGTATTGGATTCATGCCGGAACGTCACAGCTTGGGGTTGGTTGATGTGAATTCATAGCTTTCTCAAGGTCTCGCATGCGAATTTGCTGGTTTGAAGTTGTTTTCACCGGGGGTAACACACTCAACAAAATGTGAATTTTACCTCATACATGTACACACTTCCTACAACCTATAACATTGACACATCCTGTATTACTTTCACCGACATGCACCCCCCCCCCCACCACCACCACGAGTCGCGCTTTGACAAAATAAAATACCGTAGCCTACTTGCAATTGTTTTCAAAAGCTTTTAAATTGGCCATCAAAGTTATTCTTTTCGAATTCATAATAAATACCGCGATAATGGAGTTATTGACACTTGTTGAAGACAAGGCAACGCTGCACCAGATGCTGCCAGTGTATGTTTTTTAGTCTGTTTGTAATAAATTACAGCCGATGAATTGACGCTCTCGCTCTCGCCCATACTCGCGTTCTAGTCCACACTCGCGTCAAATTACACATTTCAACGCCAAATTCGTCCTTGTCTGTATTTCGAACGATTTCACATTGGTGACTGAATAGGTAACTTCTCTTCGAATATACATACAAATCACAGTTTTCAACATGCAAGCTGACTAACAACTCTCGGCCAATCCAAAGTATTCCATCACCGATTCACGTCACGGTACATTTTTATTTTGCGAAGTGAAGAGTGAAAACCTAACTACTCATGTCGCTACCCTATTCGTGAGAGTTGAGAGGCAAAAAAAAAAAAAAAAAGAACGAGTTTATTTTCTCTTATCCTGCTGTGAGCTTTGGGTGAATAATCACAAAGGGAGGTGAAACTGTAATCGCCTTATTTCCCAGGTAGTTATAGCATGGCACACCAGTGTGTGTGTGTGCGTACAGGCACAGGTATATAGTCTCTGCATATAAGCCGATTTTACGGCTATTTTTGTTATTGATCGATCTAGTCGAATTTACTAGCTTCGTTGTTTTCTTGATGTACGTGCAGTGTTGGAATATATAATTTCAATCACTGTTTAATTAACTTGTCGTTGAAAACTCTGTTCCTCTCCAGACTAAAACGTTTTACGTAATTGTTCTTAGAAATGACTGTTTCTCCACGTGTTTTTGTTTTGTTTGTTTTTTTCATTCAAATGCTCCCGATAAAGGCAATACAATCCAATTGTTATTTGATCAATATGACATATGAGCAACTGGGTAGTTTGTCACCAAAACCCTGTCATCACCGGCAGATGTCACCAAAACCAAGTCATCACCGACATCGTTTCACTGAGCCAAAGGTGAATCGAGGTCCTGTAGTCAGTCAAACGCAGACCGTGCTGTCATTCTAGCAACATGTGTACCGAAATGTATGATGGGTAAAATATTCGTAGCTGTCATGACTCATACTCACGCAGCACACATGGTATAAATATGTAAATATTGATTTCACAG